TGCCAGCCCGGGGCCAGGCAGCGCGGGTTTGGGTCCCGTATTCCAGAGCGGTGGTGATGACATGAGCGGGAACTGGCATTGCAGCTCTTCAGTCCTGGGGCCTTCAGCTAACTCGTAACCACAGAATATTTTTATAAGCTACAGTGGTTACTCTGTGTTGTGGATCAATCTGCAACTCAACTCTGAAAGCAAGTTAAATCAGTAATACTGGTGCAGCTGTAACTGTCGAAACTCACCACACTCGTATCTTTGAGAAATGGTTTTCAGCTTTTGCATGATTAAATCTAGGCACCTAAAGATCTCCTAGTAAAGATGGAGACTTTTGTGTAGCGAAAGCCATTCTATTGGTACCACTTCTGTCATTGTGATTTTGATGGACTTCTTGGAGGTAATTCACCGGCATCGCTTCCTGTTGGCTCTGCGGTCTGCCTGCCACAAGCTGAAGGCAACTGTTACTACAACAGTAACTTGAAATACAAATGTATTGTAATTAAGAAAAGTTTTACAACTTTAAATGTAGCTAGCTGTTGGTTTTGTTTGTTTGTTTTTTCAACCAAATAGATCATAGAGGAAAAAATCTTTACATAAGACAGTAGATACTCAGAAGGAAAATACATGTTGAGACAATTCAGTAGTTATGGCAAAGGGTAAGAAGAAAGGTGGCAAGAAGGCAGAAACATCTACACGTCCTCCTGTTCCTGCACAAGATACCAAAGCTGAGAGTAGTTCAGCAGAGCTGACGGATTTGCAGGCCTTAGTGAATGTAGCAGAAGAAGCAGAGGCAAATCCCGTGATACCAGATAAAGAACCAGAGGAGACAGAGGAACTTCCAGTCCAAGATGTTCCTCGATACTGTGAGGAGCCTATTCTTAGTCAAGTTATTGTAAAAAGGTATGCTTGTTACAAATACATCAGTGAATAAGTCAAGAATTTTCACTTAAGTATCTCTGCTCTGGCTAGTGTCATACAAACATGGATTTGATGCTTGATTTGAAGCAGTGAATTGGGTTATTCAGATCTAATAGCTGTGACACCTTATGAAACTGATACATGTGGAATTCTGATTATTTCTTGCATCCTAGATGCGACACCTTATGAAACTGATACATCCTAGAGTGTTGCTGGTGCTTTGTGCCTGCCCAGAGCCTCATTCTTTTAGCTTGTTCACCTGTGGTGAAGTTTTGTCTAAGTGTACATGCAGATAATGAATAAAATGTGATTTAATGTTCAGTTATTGCTGCCTTTTAATGTTTAGGGCTGCTCATATCTCTTAATATCCTAAACTGAGGAAGCAGGTGGATGACAGTGTTAACCAAGTCCTTTGGTAGTTCAGGGGGACTATGTGAAATGTTTCTTGTACTGATCAGGTTGTCTGGTTGTAAGCTAGTAAATGCTACCAATATGATTTGTTTTCTTAATTGAAAGAAATACGGGTCTGAGGCAACACAACAATTACATGAAATATTACAAGGAAGATGCAAAAAACCTGAATTTTTGTTGTAGCTCATTTCTCTGTACTAGATGCAACGACTGGCCTGTGTGTGGACCACGGTAAATCAAAGGTCATTTATTATATGTCTGTTGTGGTTTAGGTCTGCTGGCAGTGACTTGAAATCTTCATCTTTAGTTTGTTTTCCTTGTAGCTATGAAGGTGAAAAAGTCAATGGATTGTATGAGGGTGAAGGATTTGCACTTTTTGAGGGGGGAAATACTTATAAGGTAAGTGTATAAATAAATAAAAAAAAAAAAGTAGTAGCGGATCGCAGGCTGTTTCTTTTAACGTAGGTGGAGGTTGAGCACTCAGAATGTGTAAGCATTTGAAAGCTCTGTTAGTTTCTGGCATTAAAACTCTTAATTTGAAACTAGTAGTTGGAGGGGAATTAATATGTCATTCTTCTGAAGCCTTACAGTCCCTCTAGGCTTTGGTCGTGGTAAAAATAAATTTGCAAACAATGCCATTCTCTTCATTTTGAAGGGCATGTTTTCTGAAGGGCTTATGCATGGACAAGGGACTTACACGTGGGCTGATGGAGTGAAGTACGAGGTAAAGTGCAATTTAACTTATAACTGAACACAATTACAGCCAATTAGATGTGCAAATTCAAGGAAGGTAAATAAGTTGGACTAATTGGTACAGTATGGGTGGCAACTGCAGAACTGTGGCAGTGATTTCAATCACAAGCCTGACTTCTCCCAGGTGGTTGAGGAACAGTGAGTCTTAGTTTTTTAAATGTGGTAATTTAATCTTTTAGGGAACATTTGTTAAGAATGTGCAGATGTTTAATGGCCGTTACACATGGAATGATGGCAGCATTTATGAAGGATCAATTGAGAATGGAATTAGGCATGGATTTGGGTTTTTCAGGAGTGGTACTCGTCCTGTTTCTTACATTGGCTATTGGTGTAAAGGCAAACGACATGAAAAGGTAAGAACACGAAATGAGAGCGTGGTTTTGGTTGAGGGTGACTGCCCTCTAGAACAGCAAGCATTCTTGCACAAAGGTTTTGCAAAAATGTTTTGTGCCACTGCATGATCTTTTCCTACGCAGAGATCTGTTTTTCCTAAGGATCTCCTCTGATGTTGTGAATGCCAATTAAAACAATTGGCATGGGATCTTGTTTGCAGTAAAGGGATGAATGGTATCCAAAAAGAGTAATTGGCCTGTTATGTAGTTTGTCCTTTATACTGCTCCATGTTGATTATGACAGAGTCAAAACTGATGACTACATCAGTAGCCACAGAACAATGACAGAACAATTAGCTTTCCAGTAATGACAAAGTGATCTCACCTTCTAAGTGTGTTAAGCAGATCAAGTATGATAAATACAATTAAGACTGCCTTATCTACTATAAATCACACCTAGCTCTCACTTTCTAAAGGCAAGTAGTGCTTTATGGTTTATGCATCCGGATTGAGACACTCTTCTGGGCCTGACATTTTGAAGACTGATGCTCAGCATGTGAAGAAAATCCATTCTAATTACATGGGGTCTTTTTCTCTGTCACTGATGATACACCAAAATCACACAGGCTGCTGTGGATGGTCACCAGTGCAGTGGTCTGTCCAGTCTGTTCTGGGTGGGAGCAATGAGACAGAGAAAGACAGAACAATTAACACTGTAGACCTGCTATTGAAAGTTGAATTCCGAATGAGTCAGAAAACTGATCTACATCAGAGTGACTACTGTGATTAAGTTGCCAAACTCAGTATTTCTCTGAAAGTATTTCCAGGTTATTTGAAAAACATGGTAGGCTTTGACGTAATGCCATAGGAATTTTTTTAAACACTTAGTCTTTTTTACGATCTTAACTAATATTAATCAAAAAAGCTTGCTTTTTATTTATCACTTCAGTTGCTTTCAGTACAGTGTCTCAAAGTGACTATAAGTAAGAGCATGATTACATGTCTGATGTTTCATTAATGTAGATTAATATTTAGGTATTTAAATTGACTGTACTGTTTGTTTCAGGGTACCATTTATTATGATGAGGAACATACTTCTTGGTATTCAGGCGACTGGGTAAATGATGTCAAAGAAGGATGGGGAATGAGACGGTAAACATGATAGCACTTGTTATCTTCATATTTTATTTTACATGTATTATACAGTTTCTCCTATTGTTTAAAATACTACCATTCCATAGTAGTGTGTTTTCTGCAGTGGAATAAATAATTGTACAAAGTGCTTTATAATACTAAAATAGACCTTCTCTATAACTTACATTTTTATGTTGGTGTATTTCTACTGATCATTCCCACAAAAGAATGTCTAAAGACAAAATCCAAAATCAGCTTTGGTAAACTACAAATCAACGTCTAAAATCAAATAAACAAATTGATTTGAACAGATGGAGCTGCTTCCATGAATAAATGAATTATTTGTGGAATTGTATATAAGAGAATATTTTTATTAGCTGTGTTGAAGACTCTTTGGAAAAAAAGAACTGGTTAATATTTTTACAGTGATTAATAAGTTAAAAATAGGAGGGAAACAGTGGGTATAATAAAACCTCTGCATCCATGTCACAGTGAGCCAACTTTCAAATTAATGCTTATATTTAGCATTAATAAATACTAAATTTATTAACAATGAGTTTTTGCATAAACTTTGCTTTCATAAGATCCACTTAGAATGTAGTATGAATGAGTCATTAACTTTTATTGTTTGCTTGCAGCTATAAGTCTGGAAATATCTATGAAGGTCAGTGGAAGAAAAATGTACGTCATGGAAAAGGAAGAATGAGATGGTTGACAGCTAATCAGGAGTATATGGGGCAGTGGGTGTATGGCATACAGGTATTCATTTTTTGCCCAGCAGCCTCTTTAGTTCAGCATCTGTCCATCACTCTAGTAAAACTAGATAGGGGCTTTTGAGCAATATCAAAGGAGCTTTGTAAGATTTTTGCCAGTTGAGATAGTGGAAACACGCTGTTTATTGTAAGTTGATTGTCATGTTAGCAATATTAAAAATGTGAAAAGGCTTTTGACTTAATTAAATAATGATTTTGTAAGACTGTCTAATGGAAAATATAAATCTTTTTCATATAAACAATTTTTAAACAATTGAATGTTTGTGACTATACTTAGCTTGAGCTATTAGTTCAGCAGTGACTGTATGTTGCAATTTACTTCTGTGTCACCTGTAAAATATTAGACCACACTATTCCCTCTTCTAAAAGTTTTATGACGGAAGGAGAAGATTTCTGGCATTTTCTGTTCCTTCCTTATTATTCTGATGGAAAAAGAATGTGAACTACTTCCTCTTTCTTTGTGAGTCCAGCTTCTGGAACATCCTGGCTCTCTGGCATGCTGTTCCTCAGCTGACTGTTCAACAATACAATCAAAAGGATTCAGGCAGGAAGGATGTCTTTAAGAGTCCTGTTGGTAGAGCTTGCTCAAGTATATGTTGATTTGGTGTATCCTCCGAGTGCTTCAACCATGCACCTTTGTCGAATGTACTTCTGTGGATGCTTTGAAGTACTGCAGCTATCATCAGGGTGGTTTTATTTGAGAGATTTGCTGACAGTGACTCTTAACAATGCTTATGTGGTTTTCCTTTGTAAAAGTCAACCTCTAGCAATAGTAGCTCTTCTGGAGATTTATTTTTTTTTAAACACAATTTTTTTTTTTTTCAGCATGGATATGGCACCCACATATGGTTTTTGAAGAGAATGCTTGTGTCTCAGTATCCTTTAAGGAATGAATATGTAGGTGATTTTGTAAATGGGGAACGACATGGACATGGGAAGTTCATATATGCCAGTGGAGCAGTGTATGATGGTGAATGGGTTTGCAATAAGAAACATGGCAAGGTGAGTATTGACAAGCAGTAAGACAAAACTACAGACAACAGCAGAGGAGACTATTCTTTTCTGTATGGATCTCTAGATTTCTGTACAGAAAACTACATTCAATTTGCATTGTGAATGGAATTCCAACATAAAGGACAGACTGAAAGCAGTGGGAATCCTTCCCAGGACCTTGCTGGGCCACAGGCTCTGTGGTTAGATGTGTGTTGTGAGCATAAAGAAGTAGTTTTGCTGCGGAGTTTTTCGGTGCAATAGGTACATCTTGATTTTTGCAGTGGTTGGTCAGTATTTCACTCTTACACTGGGAGCTAACGGATTTCAAACTGTCCTTGCACAGAATGTTCTCGCATTAACAGACTTTTTTCTGAAAATCTGTTGAGCGGTGTGCCCCCTGTGCAAACTAAGGATTGCAAACAAGTCTTTCTGTTTGGTGGGGGAAATGTTTTTTTTCCTCAAAATAGTTTTTGGAATCAAACAGATATATAGGCAGTTCTTCATCCCAGCATAATTAGCAGATGGCAAAGTATTTAATAAAATAGGATTGGAAAAATTATTTTGCTTTATATCACATATTGCATTTTAGCCAAGATTCTTAAAAGGAAACTTGATTGAGAGCATTAATGTTATTTTTTCTGATCTTTGATTTATATTTATATTGAAGTTAATCAAATTATCTATAGGGCAAGTTTGTCTTCAAGAATGGCCACGTTCATGAAGGAGAGTTCATAGATGATCATATTGTAGAATATCCTGCTTTTCAAGTGGATGTAGTGAATGCAAAAAAGCTGGATACCATTTGCACAGGAAGTAATTTTGGCACTGGTAAGCAGCTTAAGAAAACAAAATCTACTCAGTTCACATCTTGTTGTTCCTTTTTACTATAATGTGAATGTGTTCATGCTTCCTCAAGAGCCAGACATATTTCTTCAGAGAACTTTGGTAAAGATGGGAGTTTCGCTCCCATGATTCTTGTTTCCTGTGCATGACACTTTCAGCAGAATGACCCATCCACACTACATCTTCTAATGCTTTTGGAATACTGTTGTCTGAAAGTTTAATAACTTATGTAATATTAGCATTTACTTTTGGCTAGGGGTTAGATTTGGCAAAATTACTCTTCAGTTGTTACACTGTTGATTATGAAATCTCTACTCCTCACTATAAAGGAGTCTATTATTCTCAGTTTGAAGTCAGTGAGATAAGAAGGAATAATACATGTTTTATCTTCCCTGTGTGTATATATATTTTTAAACTTCATTTTAGTTTATTATTTATTTTATTTGCATGGTAGAAAACATCACAATCATTAATGGCTCAGAAGAGACTTCTATTTTGGGATCAAATGTTGGGTTGGATATATCTTCACTTCTTGACTTGTTGCCAAGGGAAGTGAGACATGAAGAAGCGAAACAAGTAAGTGTCTACTGTTTGATATTTTCAGTTTTCCTCCTGCTGTGTGTTTCATATTATTTTATTTCTGGTTTATTTGTATTAAAGTAACTCTTTCCATTAAAGAATTATTTGAAAATCTGAAGGCCATGAAAACAGAAAAGCAAAAAGAATGAATAGACAGTATTGCCTCTTCCTGAGCTTCCACTAGAAGACAATAAAAAATGTGTTAACATATCTGGAAGGACATGCAGCAACTACATTTAGCTACTATGAGGTTTGTCTGCAGACAGAGACTAATTTATTTTTGTCAGCCACCAAAAAATATGTATTATAACTACATTTGAATAGTTCTTTACTGAGCACTTAACTAGGGGTATGCTCTCTAAAGTTCTAAGATCAAAAGCATTATATGCACAGTTCAGAATCAATACAAGCTGATCTCTGCTTGCTGTGAGGTGATGCTGAAAACATATCTCGCTTTATTTAGGTAGAATTTGCTGTTTTGAGGCATATTATGGAACTGAGAAGAATTTACACCTTCTACAGCCGCTTAGGCTCTGATCATTCTCTTGACAATGCCTTCTTCATGAATAAGCTTCAATTCTGGAGATTTCTGAAGGACTGCCAGTTTCATCACTCCAACATAACTCTTGCTGAAATGGATCGGATATTGAGTGGTTTGTTTTTCTGTTGATCCAAGTCTAGAATCTAGGAATTTTAATAGTAAGCTGCAGAGAGTGGCAAGTTCTACTGATAGCTCAACTCTATAGCTGATAGCTTAACTCTAGTTAAGTAGCCCTGAGTAAGTACCTCTGTTCCTGTGAATTTTCAGTGGATGTGTTAATATTTCTCCCAGCACATAAGGTGCTTAGTTGAGAAAATGCAAAATTAAAAATACCACTTAAAAATTGTTCTAAAGAACCATCTGTCCAAAAACTGTACTCACCCTTGATCTTGCCACTACTCTTATATGTAGTTTCAAGAGGTCTGAGAAAGAGAAGTAGAATAAACAATTTTTTTTTTCCCCCAGTACTCTTAACTTTGATTTGCACATACTATGATTCTTTTCTTCTACAGAGCCAGTTAATCAGTGTCATTTAGACCTGCAGTGGGATGCTCTGCAGTGTCCCTAGAATGTGAAGGGTTTAACTCCAGCTTCGCTTTGCCTTTCATTCTTATATGCTGAGTGGATGCATTTCTAGAAAGAGAATTTTATAAGATTGAGCTACAGGTGGACTATTCTCCCTTGACCTGGTTGTTTGGAAGTGATGCTGTGTCTGGTCTGCTTCTTCCAGGAGTGTTATTACACTGTGATAGGTAGAGATGGAGAAGATAAGAAAGGCTGACAAGTCTATGTGCCTATAGGCAGTTTAATGTATGTCATGGCAATAGAGATTTATTTTGTAAAATTTTTCAGGTGATCAAACACCACTTGAGGAGATACATTGTCCACATGAGACTTTACTGTTCAGAACATTTTTATCTTACCTTACTCGTCTAGCATTTCATATCTATCGTGAAGAGCACAAGTAAGTTTCATCTTTTAGTTTAGTTTATTTCTTTCAGTGTAATCAGTTTGAGTGTTCCCAGACAAGAGTATTTTTGTTTCAACTGTAGAGAGAAGGGTCCTTATCTGCATAAGTGTTTCTTAGAAATGATGTCCAGGAATATTATTCCAGCTGCCTGTCATATCCAAGGTAGGTAATGGTGTTTCTTCTGTGCTGTGTGCAATTTATCAGTTAGTACCACATACATCACATTTTTATATAACTGTTTTTTTTCCCCAATTAATTTTTAAAGGTGTCCTGTTTTCTGAAGAACAATGTACAGTTGTTGCCATGAGCTACATAGACAAATGCTGGGAAATATACAGAGATTTTTGTAGACCAAGTACCAGACCTCCATTTGAACCCACAATGAAAATGAGGCACTTCCTTTGGATGTTGTTTTTTTTTTTTTTTTTTTTTTTTTGTATCATTAGATGGCACTTTATTTGTTCAGTTTATATGAGCATTTTAAAATACTCCCTGTGGCTTCTGCACAGCTGAAAAGGTAGGAGCAATGTTATTTGTGCAAACTGTCCAACAAACATTAAATGGACAGTTGTTCTACAGAAATTATTTATGTACTTTTTCAGGATTGAATTCTGATTTCTTGGTAGTTTCAAATCAACAGATCTTAGACAAATGTCTTTTAAGGGAATATAAATATTTTTGCTGGCTTCCCCCACATCCTGTAAAATGTCTATGTGAAAATGTCTTACTGGTAGAATTCGAAGACTGTCAGCTTTTGAAGTAATACAGTAAACCATTTTATTAATGTATTAATTTAATATATGGCAAGATGGACATGAGATTCTCTATTAAATTTCAGTAATTCAGGGACAGATCAAGATTACACTGAAGCTAGGAAACAATTTGCATTGATATGCCTGGGTTTTGGGTTGCTGTCACTGTTTAAATCCAAGCCTTTTTTTCCTAAAAAAAAAAAAAATATATATATATATAAAATCAGATGGCAAAATTGTATTTTTTTATATTTTCAGCTTCAGTAGGGCCAGAATTTCTGTCTGTCGTTAATTACATATGTGGAAGTACCATCTGAAACCACTAGAAATTTTGACAGAGGCTATAAAAGGAGTTAGATTAGGTACATGTGGGAATGCCTTAAGTGCTGTTAACGTGTAATTTTTATTCTTACCCAGGATTTTAAACTTCTCAGCAAACAATTAACTGCTTCAAGACTTGTGGAAATACTTGTCAAAGATGGTCCCCCTCTACCTGATAGCAGTAGTACCAACCTGGAGGAGGAGGTGTGTATGGGAAAAAGCATCATAGTTCGTTGCTACAGGAACAATTAAAATTACTTTTAAAAAATGCTGCAAATACTGTCCTATCTGCTAGAACAGGAGGAAAGTGAATTAGTTTATTCCCATAGCCTCTGTTTTTGTCTTCCTTTGTTCTACCTGTATCTTCTAGTTTAGCTGATGTATTTCTATGTTTTGCTTATTAGCTTATCTTTCTTCGTACAGTCTCAGTGTGCCCGACCTTACAGATAACTTAAGAATGCCGTAACCGAGCGGGTGAAATGCCACTTCTGAGACACTGCTGCTAGTAACAGTTCTGTGTGGGGCTGTAATACAGTGATTACGCAGGGACGGATCTCGGCGCTTCCAGCTGCCGAGACGTGCACTGGAAATGTTGGGATGGGTCAATAATTAAGATGTGAACCCACAGAACCTGAAAATCTGGTGATCCAAGAAACCTTATTAGTGACGTGTGAAGTTCTGCCACCTCCATGAGGTCAAGTAGTGACTGTAGAAGACTCCTGTGCTACCTGAGAGCTGGCCTGCTATAGAGGGCCTTCATCCTTAAAGATTTAGCTATTACTCAGTGACAGTCGATTGTAAATTACACAACTGAATTGTTGTTTTAAATGGTATCTGATAAACTGAACACACAGTGTAAGACTTACTAAGGGATTTCTTGTACACTGATTTTTGGGGTTTCTGGAAGCATCATATGCAATTAAACATTTTAGGTAACAGCAACAATTGTGTGTTATTTGTTAGAGATCTATTTTCTTGTTGCTCCAGATACAGCAAAAATGATGCAGTATTTTATTTCAATATGACTTGTATAAGTTGTAGCACAGTGTATCACCTCCTGGATTTTTTGAGCTTTGGCTGTTTTCAATTTTTCTTCAGAAGAAGGGATGTTTGAGTAAATAAATGAGGCCAGTGAGATTTCACAAATGATCACTTTTGAGTTCTTTGCTTGCTCAGGTACATATGCCCATTAATGAAGGAATTTTGCAAAAGTGAATGAATGAATCATTGTGTTTGTTTTACTCTAGATGGTTTTTCTTGAATTTGTTGAGGCTCTTCTTGAATGTGCGTTGGTGTTTGTTACCAGTGATATGATTAAGGAGCAAGTAGATCGTGAGAATCAGAAAAGAAGTAGCTTTAGAATCGAGGGTCTCTCCAAGGAAACCACAAAGGTGTCTCCGTACCCAGAATTTTCTCTGTCCCAGGTAAAGTTGTTGCAGACCTGTGAAATATTACTATGTGCCTACTTAGAGGGTGAGGTTGGGCCCTGCAAATGTTCTGTTTCCTGAACATAGACACCAATTTCTTCTTTTTGCATAAACAGTCATTTGATTGGGTCCTTCTGCTTTTACTATTTGTTGCTGCCTTCAATTGTAACATCACTAGAGACAGTTTCAATACACTTGCACATTTTCCTAGATAACTATAAAATACACACAATGTACGTGCAAGTCTTCCAGTGTTCCAAGGGGAGTTGATAAATTGGTTCACTCCTGTGTTAAGCTGAATGTCTAAAATTGCCCTGTAAAAATGGCATTGCAGTTGTTGTACATACCAAGACTTGCTGTTTCCCAGCTAAGCTATGCTCTCTTTTTGGCAAACTTTTGAATAAAGATTTTGTAGGTGGTAAGATGCTGCCTGTGACACTGGTGCAATTTAGATGCACAGGGTAGTTGAAGGCATGACTTAGAATTGTTATTATTCAGAATTATGCACAAGATTAAAGAATTTTTATAAAATCAAAGAACATTCACAAACACCTAGTTTCACAGTCTCTGTAAGCCAGTAATGCCGCTGAACACCAGCACTTCCCGTTCTCTGGCCGATTGTTCCCATACTGTGGAACACATTCCCCTGCATCACTGCAAGCACTAATGCAATTGCACAGTGAAATGGTCCAGTTAAAACAATCATATTTTTCAAGACTAAAATAAAATCTTAATTTAAAATTTATTGAACATAAAATTTTTCTTGTATTTACTTTTTATAAGTGCACGTACAGCAGAAGTATAATTGATACAGACATAAATGATGAAGTTTGAGGCAGCTGAGCTTTATGCTTGCTCATGGTTGTCTTCAAGCAAAAATGTATCACAAGACAAAATAAAGAAACATGAGGTGTGTAAAAAGCCCACACTGGAAGATGGAGCAGAGGGTTTGCAATTCATGGGTGACAGAGTAGCCAGGGTAGTTTTAAGTTTTGAAAAGGACTAGAATTTAATCTGATATTAAATATGATGTGTTTCCATGCTTGGATACATGTACGAGCCTAGAAGTGGTGCATTTCCATTGCTAACAAAGCATTTGCTCTCACATGTACCCTCAGCTATTGTTATTTAGAATATTGGGTGGTATCTTCTACGTTAACTAAAACAGTGGGGAATAAAGCTACAGTTTTACCTTTATTTGTATGGTGAGGAATGAGCAGCTGAGAAGTGGGCAGAGAGACTTAGAAGCACTGGGGAAGGTAAATGTAATATAATTCCTACAACACTTTTCAGAATTCTTCCAGCAAACTTTTCACCTTCGCTGCCTTTATAATTTTGTACCCAGTGTATGACTATAATGAGAGTCTTAATATTCCAAGAAGAAAAATGGATTGTCTTACCCGTGTGATTTCAGGGTGAGTCGGAAGGATTACTGTTTTGTACTGAAATAATGGAAATCAGACAGAGAATTTGGAAACTTCCTGACTTTTAGAAAATATACCAACAGAAAACAGAATTGTGTTTGACCTGAGTTTTTGTGAGACTTTTACTGTCACTCCTTTGAAAAGAGTGACATCATCAGGCTGCAGAAAATGCTTGGGATGACAGTTGGAAAGATTTCAAAGCATCCTTCACAGATACACTCTTGAATGTTGTCCTCTTCTTTTTACTCAGTGTAATTCCTGGAGTATATTCATATAGTCAGGAAGAGAAATTCATTATTGTTTCCTTGGGACCAGGTGAATAATAGTATGTAGAGCAACATGTAAGAACAGAGGGACGTGTTTAAGAACAGGAGTTTTTATTCTCTGTGCTTCTCTAGCTCTGAAATAGGATAATCCTATTTCCCTGGCTGGTATCAAAGGTAAAGTGTTATGACTGATTTGCCAATACTTGAAAGTGTGAAACAGAATTGCAGTTTAAATGTTTTAAAATAGGCATAGTTGCAGAATGCATTTGGTTGGCACAATGCTTTGGAGATAGGAATTTGCATGGCTCGAGTGGACATGTGATTTCACTCTTTACTTTGAACACAAGTCCAGGCATTTAGTAACTGAATTTAAAACTTCTTGCCAGCCACTGAGACCTTTTGAAGACAGAGAGCATCCTCTTCAAGAGTTTCTACTGGGTGAGTACTGTAGTTACCATAAGCATCTATAAGCAGTGGTGCTACAGGAGATTAACTCTTTCCACGACTTTAAATCTGATTAAAACAGTAGGTGATAATTGAAACAGCTGGATGTATTGCAGTTACAGAGGGTAGCTGCATTCAGTTTGGCAATTAGGTTTACATTTAGCTTTCCACACCTGCCGTACATGGATAGCTGGGCAGGTTTGAATCTCTGATCTTTTTATGCTTTTTAATTAGAAGCTATCACATTTTCCTTAAAAATAACTTAAAAGACTTTTAAAAACTAAATTCTTCCTGTTTTGTCCCACTCATTTGGGCATGGAAACAGGGGATTGAACTCTGCACTCTGCCTTCATTATAAACAAACTTTTAATCAGTACAGAAGTATTTCAGCCACAGGTCTAGCTGTAAGGTCAGATGACAACTTTGTTTGTGCTGAAGATCAAACCTGATGTTTAATGAACAGAATTACAGACTGAGTAATTTTAATGTTCTTTCTTTGCAATATCAGGTACTGGCCTCTCATTTCACACAACTGATGGAGATACCAATGATGTTCCGTCATTTTTCAGCAGGGATGCAGAAAAAGAACAAGATTTCTGTCCAGCAAAGAAACTGACAGGTAAAGCAGTCCTACTGTTTTAAGACTAACACACACACAAATCCCTTGTAGCTCTTGAATTGTTAAATTTTAATTATATATGCAGATTTCAGCTTGTCACAAGAGGGCAGTAAATGAACATTAATTCTGGAGGAAGAATTTTAAAGAAAATGAAACTTAGTAATTAAATGAGAAGTTTAAGTATTGACTTAGATAGCTTCCCCAATTTTAAAATGCCACATTTTATTCGTAGGACAGCTAGAGGCTGTAATTTGTATTTACTGTATGAGAAGCTCAATCTGCAAGCCTGCCCCCTTTTTTTTTTTTTTTTTTTTTTTTAATCTCTGGGACAAATAAAAGTTATTACTGCTATGTCTCGCTTCTTTTACTTAATGTAAGAATTATTTTTAATGGTGTGCCACCACTGTCTGGGGCAAGATGTCTTATGTTATGACAGGCCAGCATTCATGCAGAAGAGAAATCATTAAGAGCATTTTCATATGGTGATGCTAGTAACCTTTTTATAGGTTATCTCCCTTCTGGCTGATTAGCAGATCTCATCTGGGTTGAGGTTTTTTTTGTGCTTGTTAAATGCTTTCTACAGATGAAGACCCCAAATCCAAGAATATAGGTACACAAGGATCTTTGTGTAGTCATCAGCTCTTTCACTGAAATCTGATGACTGAAAAGTTACAGATCTGAAAAAACACTTTTTCTTAAAGAACCAGCACATGTGCCCTAGCCTGTTTTTTTTAGTCACAACAATTGGATAGTTGCATGCAATTCTGTTCTTTCAGGTGGTCATGTTCCTCCATTCTCCCAAGCACAGGAGTCATGGATGCTGAACTGTCATCAGATTACTGCAGAAGACATCATAGGAGTAAAAGGGAGAGCTCACATTCTTTTGATGCCATTCCCAGGGACAAGTCACTTGAAAGACCCACACAGGGGCCATCCCCTTTCACATGCAGCAGTTGAAAGTTTATTGTAGTTGTCATCTTCTGTACTGTGCAGAAGCCAGACCTTCCCATTGCAAATACTGTACTCCCAAACACATTTGAAATAGAAGTGCTCTGCTAAACAAACATGTTTAATTTACATGTTACAGGTGAACCAGGAGAAACTAAAACTGAACAAGATAAGAAATTTAGTCTGTGGCTGTGTCAGATGCAAATCTTTCTTACAACTAAGTTCTTTCCTGCCTACCAGCATGAAAAAGTGCTGAGGGAAAAAATAAGAGAAAATCAAATACGGGATGCTGAATTAGCTGAGCTGAGAAAAATCGAGGATGAGGAGCTGGGAAAGTGAGTGTTGTATCTTAGAGTGAAGTACTGATCTTTCTTATCTTCTAACAAAATTACTGAACACTACTGTGCTTTAATAAAGTAGTATAGCATACTCTAACTTGTAAAACAAACTCAGCCAGGTGCAATAGGCAACATACAGAATGTAACTCATGGGACTTCTGTTACTGTTGGGAGTAACAAATACAGGCTGCTTTCAGGTTGATGAACTCCTTAACTCATTTCCTGGCGCTTGAGTCCTGCTCTGTGTAAAGGCAGTTGACTATCTTTTTTCTTTTTTAAATACTCTAAGTCAGACTTCACGTTGTAACTAAACAGATTTTTCTGCTTCTCTACGACAGTTTATGCTGCTGATCCTGTAAATATAGCTGTAGTTGCTTAGCCAGTGTAAATCTGTCTCTGCCTACCCCCTTGCAATACACTAAATTTCAGCTTTGTTCACTCAAGAGTTATTGCTGAAAGAAAAGCAGAAGAGGCAAAAAGGCAAGCAGCAGCTGCAGCAGAAACAGCACTTGAATCCAAGAGTGCAGAGTTGATGGTGTTAGAGGAGCCTGTCACAGAGTTAGCACCCCCTCTGAAGGAAGAGGAGCCCATTGTAGCACCCCCAGTTGTTACCAAGACACCTGCTCGCAAAAAGAAAAAGAAGAAATAAATCTTCTAATGGGAACTACTGAACCTTCAAGTAAGTAATTACTTTTTAAATAAGAAAAACAAACAAACAAAAAAACCCCCCAGCACAACAAACACATCACAGTTGCAGTAAAGTGTCTAAATGCAAGCATGACAAAACTGTACATGCAAGACTTGCTGGTTTCAGAGGGAACTGCTCTTACTCCAAGGGTCTTGAGAAAGAGAATATGCAAGAGTGGAAGTCTTTAAACAAAACTTTAAGAGATCTGTTGACTTATACCTAAAAATTCACTCAGTGTAAAGTTGATACAAGAACTGGTATCTTGTCATGACCATATGTCCCAATTAAATGGTTTCTGCTTAAAATGTGCTTTTTGACTGAAATATTCCATAAAAACAAGTATGTAAGAGTGTGACAGAGAATGTAAATCACACTGAAGCAGGAGCTGCAAAGAACGGGTCAACTGAGAGTTATTTGTTCGGGGTCTTTTGTAACCAGTGTCATTTCACTTTGTAGCAAATTAGCAGAAACTCACATGATGCAAATGAACACAGGAGAACAAAAAGATGCCCTTAAAAGTGTAACAATTATTAGTTTTATTTTCCAGTAAAATATTCACATAACAATATCAGAATGGAATGGTACAGATGAATTGAGACTGGTTTTTAATTAATTTGCACATAAACATTTTTAAAATCTAAAAATTTTATGATCAGAGTTTACAGATTTTAGTAGAAATTTTGATTCTTACAAAGCAAGTATTGCTTTACTATTGTAATTATTCCAGTCAATAATATGACTAATAACTTTTCATGTTGAACAAGTGCTTGACATTGACATCTTCAATAAATAAGCCCTTTGCAGATCAATCCAAGAAGAAAATATTATTAAACTGTGTTGCACAAAGTTTCTTCACTTCTTCTGTAAAAAAAATTAAAAAAAAAAATAAAAAAAAATTCAGTATGATATTTTACAGGAACCTGTGCAAGAAAAACCTTGGGAATCATCAAGGAGAATATAATTAAATGAAACCAGAAAAAGAAATCTAGGAGTTTCTAGTGTAGAAATGCACTTAATTTTATTCTGTCTTCAGTAAGAGAAAGCTGAGTCAAGTCTGACATTTCATGCTGTCTGCAAGAGGTGTTGGATACTGAGTGCTGCTGGGCCACTCATCTTGTCAAACTTTTACGCTGCAACAGCAGAAGTCTTAGCTTCAACACAAGGCCCTGTATTGTAACCCCTTTTCAGGGGCAGGGGGGATTAGTGTAGTCTGTTAGCAATACATCAAGTCAGCAAAACTTTTGCTTTGTGCTGTTTGGCAGACAACACTTCAGGGGTAGCAGTACGTCCTAAGTTTATCAATCAGGTGCAGAAAAGGTTTTTGTATGGCAGGTTTGAGCCTGAAAGACAATTACAAATCATTGTGCAAGTCACATAACTCGATCCTCTTTTGAAAATACAGGTTGCTAGGTTTTGGTCTTGGAAAAGTATTAATTCTTTCCCATCATCCAAGTGAGCGCATTGCCTCCCATTAAAACAGAGCCCTAAAATTGCTGCAAGTAGGACTCAAACTGACATTTCTTCTAGCCTATTTAAAAGCATATTGCATCTTAGTGTTAATTTGCACTCTTAATCATAGTAAATCATTCTCAAAACAGCATTGGAAACAAGACAACAAGGGAAGGAAGATCACTGACAAGACAGACATTATAGACAAGTAACCTACCCATGGATCACTGAGAAATAAAACCTAACTCAGATGTAAATATGTTCATATCTCACCTCTAATACATGTCATTAATTGCTCCTAAACTAAGTTCAGAGCTCTCTATTATTTGATGAAGGAAAAATGACTGATTAATAATTAAGAATGTCTGCTGAATATTTATGCTGTCTTTTCACAGGAGGCAGACTAAAACCTTATGCAAACTTACCTGGTCTATCATGGATTAATCCCTCTCTAGATTTCTTGTGACAGGGATTTTATTACTTCTCCAGGGACATACATTTTAGTAGTAACTGTATTTAAAAGTAATAAAAAACAGTCCTTACCATTAACTTCAATCAGATTTGCATTCTTTTGATTCAAAATAACATATAGTTCTCGCTGGTCAGACTTTTTCCCAACTACCCAGTAATCACTCATTGCCTTCACGATAATTTCCTCATCTTCATCAACTCTGAAAGAAGTTTTAGAAAATAAATAAGGTGGTAGCAAATTGATCTTCAACAGCTTTATTTGTAATCATTAGGACAGCTTAATGTCATAAGTTGTTGTGTCTGTCCAGTATCAGAGAGAGACTACCAATGCTAACTTAAACATAATTCAGCAATCCAGCATGAAGGCTTCATAAACGGCTGCTTAGGACAGTTACATCCCCTGATGGACAAATTAATGATTTATTCATCAGCCAAACACTCAAGTGCTCTGAAGAAATAAAACTGTCCTCCATACTGTTAAGAACACACATCATAGAATTATGATTTGCTACACAGTAACCAAGTAGTGAAAGTTGGAGATGGTATGGTCATACTAAACTTTCACATATTTAATTTTTAAACCTAGAATTAAACCATGGTCAATAACTAGATACATTACATAAAGCTGTCACTAACCCAGTACTTCTGCAATGTGATGAAACATTCTTTTTTCATTTGTAGAAAAAAGAAAACTTTGTTCTTAAGCAGAGTGGGAAAATTGGTAGTCACTGATTAGAGTTGCAGACATCACAATCATTCAGCATTTTCATGTTCTTTATTATTCTTATAGTGACAGAGGGTGTCCTCCACCTTGAAGCATGATACCTAATGACAAGTTGCCAGTTATCTTCTCTTCCAGCAGTATTGTAGTAACTGCAAGGTTTGCATTTCATCTATTGTCTAATCCCTAACAGCAGACAGCTGTTTCCCAGGAGGGTGTAATACAGGCAGAAACAGGTTTCCCTGGCCTTTATACTACTTACCCAAGAGATGAGACAAAAGCATTAGGCTTCATATCCCTTTTAAGTTAGTTATGGCTATTCTGAAGCTTCACATAGATATTTGCTTCGATAGAGGCCCTGACCCTTGTTTAAATTATTTTTTAAAAGGACAATAGAAGTTTAAGACAGACTGCTTCTGAGCCAACACAAAATACCAAATATGACCAACATTACACCATTATCTCGCAGAGCTATGGATAGCCATCCATGAACAAGACAACATGAAAGCTTCACTCATTTGAGAAACATCTACTTGACAGAAGGAGTTACACACTATTAAATAGTTAAGCATTACCTGGAGAAGTCACTGTTGATGTCACCGAGAATCTTCATGAGGTCAGGGTGAACAGATGCAAGTGATACACTGGGTGTTTTCCTCATGTGAATGGTACTTTTCTCTGCCAGGTTCATGTGATTGAAATAGATAAACTTAAACTGAGGCTCTTTCTCAGCCCTAGGAAGATTTTAGAAAAAAATGTGTCTTGTGAATACTGACATGTTCTATAAAAACAGGCTTCACAGAGAACAGGTAACTAGCCAGTGCAAAGCTTACTCAGACATCCTGAAGTTATCTTCACATTGAAGAGACCAAGTACATTAAGACTTGTGGCACGATCAAACTTCATTTTAACACTTAAAAAAAACCAAACCCAAACAAAAAAAAACAACCAGTTTTTCCCCTTCTCCTGCTTAGGCTGCTAGTAAATGTACACAGGGGCATCTATAAAGGTCTTTTTCACTTCCCAGTAGTAGTTTTCATTTTTCTAATGAGCTCTTTTTCCCCTGTCCTCCTTTTATTTTCCTTGCTGCTCTCCTCTATGCCAGTCTAATCTAGTTTGAACGGATGCTAGGTCTTTAATTTGATTAATAAGTAATCTTCCACTCACATCTTTGTCACAATCAAAAGAAAAGAACTCTTCCCCCCCCATCATTTGTGTGCGCCAAGCAAAAGACTATGTTGAAACTCCTGTCTTGGCAGTCTTCCTCCATTTCCTTTTTTATTAAGTTCATATAAAATCTGCCACTGAAGAGCTGTTGTTTTGGCAGAAGTCACAACAATTTCAGACTGGCAAAAACTGACTATGGCAATTGTTCCTTCAAGCTATGTATTATTTAGGATCAGGGAGATACTGTGATGACACCACTCACCTTAGCAAACAACTAGATACCCTTGCTCTCTGTCACTCAGATGCATTAGTGTCAAGGAACTGTATCATGTTTTCAGGACACCATGGCATTAAACTTTAAAAGAGTTAAACCTGCCAAAGCCAGTCCCAGATGACATTAAAAAACCCCAAGTTTAATGATTTAGTAGATTGGCACGATTTCAAGCACATCCTATCCTATACCCTGCAATTTTGCTGATCTGGCATGCTACCACTAAGTGAGTTCAGTCACACACCTATCTTCAGTTTAATTTCTCTTTTGTCATCATCTGGGATGCTGTTCTTGTTTCCCCCTAACTAACAGATCTATCTAAAATTTCATGAAAAGTCAGCTGTAGTTTTAAGTGAAGTATATTTTCCAAAGCAGTAACATCCTTTTTCATTTGATTTTTTTTGTGGCCCTCAAGTATTTACCTTAGTCCTGCAAAACAGAAAAAATAAGTTTTTTCCCTCACCTACTATACACAGCAACACTTCAAGAAGCAGTAATGTTGTAAAAATGTACTCAACTGTAAAGCTTGTATTGTAACTAAATAATTCACTTACCAAAATCCCCATTTCAAACTACTAAACAAGTTTTTCTAGTACCTAGACCTTCATTTTTCTTTTTAATTTGTAACGAAGTTAGGAGTTATATACACTCCGTCCAGGCTATAAATACTTGCCTCTCAGACAACAGACAGAGCTAGTGGTGTCAGTGTCCACTTGATGTGAAAAATACAGTTCTTTTTCTAACGATATGCAAAATAGCAGAAAGGCAAAGCAGAAGTCAAAGACAGCACAAAGAGGGATGTGGGCACAAAGAGACAGTGATTTTTTTTTTTCTTTTTAAAACTGTAATGTTCTACTAGCCCAAGGGCTATTTGTGAACATC